GATTAATTCATTATCAATAACTTGCATCCTTAAGGAGTTAACTTAATTTATATCTACTCATATTCATGTATTTAAGTGTTTTAATGATTTGGCCGATTAATTGATTAATCAAAAAATAATCGACAGATTAATCGATTATTAAAATAATCGTTAGTTGCAGCCCTAAAATGGTGWRGTGCTTTTAAAATCAGTAACTAACCTGACTAATAAATTTCTTCACTGTGATTAATCGATTTATTGCTTACCGCGTCACGCCTCTTCATGACTGCCTGATCTCAACACGTCTCACCACCGAAGGAGGTTTTCCAAATCGGCAGCAAATCAACCACGTTCTAAGAGGTCATGTAGGTCACGGCGAGTAAAATTGAGTAAAACTATAYGAATTTATAGAGTGGTGCGAGCTGACTATGAATAATATTATTCCACATTGGACTGGATAAAGCACGTGTCAAAGCCGTCGTCATTTATTCGAGCTGGGCTGCAGCCGTGGGTGGGATAAGATAACAGCGCAGGAAAATAAAAAAGTCATCACACACTGTAAGTCATCAATCATAAAACCCAGAGGGGTGGATTACCTAAATCAGTGCAAACTTAGACAATCCTCCGGTGTGTGAGCGCCTGTGGAAAATTTAAATATCGTAATGATGACTTTGACGGATGCAACTCTTGCTGCGCGACGGCCAAAACTAAGCACAGCTTTTATTAATGAAGGTCAGGAGCATTTTTCATCCTGCCGCCGAGAATAGAGCTGTCTGCAGTGAGGTTCGTAACTGTTGAATGCCGATACAAGCCAGAGAAATGCAATCTCTAAATCATATTTTATAGTATTTAATGGGGCTTTGTCAGTCCACAATTGGCAGCAACGTCTCCATTTCCTGATAAAAACGTAAAGTAGTTTCACAAAAAACTTAACAGCAAAACAACAGATTAACACAAACACGAACCCTGGAATTATATTACTTTTACTGCGCAGTCTTTTAAGAAGATTTAAATGATCAACAATTAAACTTTTGAACTTGAGGCTTTTTGACAGGATTTGTTTAGAGTCCACGTCAAGATCTGTGAAAATCAGCTCACATTTTCTTTCAGGAACTTTTAATCTCCCCGAGGACGATACGTTCAAAGGGTCTCAGAGGGGAAGCGGTTCAGCCGTGGCCTTGGCAGGTTTTAGTCCAGTTGAACAAAACTATTATCAGAGTTTTAAACGAGGGCATTTCTTTAAATTAATAAAAGATATTTTCTCACTAAGAATTAAACATGATGTTACCAGTGTTKTATAAAGCARGGGTTCTYAAACATTTTAGGTCTGGGGACCCCTTACAAGGGCAAAAAAATTACAGGCCCCCCCTCATAAAGCCCATGCTTTTTAAACGATAATTTGTAATTTCAACCCCTAAATGCCACGGGAATATATTTTTATTTAGTTTATTATTTTATTACTTCATTGTTCCCCATGCATTTTTAAAAATAAAAAACAAATTAACAATTTAGTGAAATTTTTTTGAAGATATCTCTCGCGGACCCCTGGGACCCCAGTATGAGAACCTCTGGTATAAAGTACCTCAGAGTGATACTTGAGTAAAAGTACAAGTATCTTATCATAAAAATACTTTGGTAAAAGTTAAAGTTTTCTCTAAAAATATTACTTGAGTAAAGGTCTTAAAATATCTGATATTTTTTGTACTTAAGTATCAAAAGTAAATTTCTGACACAAAATCTACTTAAGTATTAAAAGTAAAAGTACTGGGTAAAAGTGAGCAGTTAGATTTTCCAAAATGATATTTATTTGGAGGTGACTTCTCCAAAAAATATTTTTTCTAACAGCGTGCAGCTGTGATGGGTTGTGTACACGCTAATATTATGTCAGAATGGTAAATATTTATACTTCTCATCCAAACACAATTAAATTCACTCTATCCAGGAGACACAATTTATCAGGATAGTATTTTTTAAGTAATAACTCGGAATAAAATAGGAGTAACGACTTTCTACTTCTTCCCTTTTTAAAAAATGTAGTGAGTAGAAAGTACAGATAATTGTGTAAAAATGTAATGAGTAAAAGTAAAAAGTATACGGAAAAAATAATTACTCAATAATGTACGGATAACCAAAATTTCTACTTAAGTACAGTAACAAAGTATTTGTACTTAGTTACTTTACAGCTCTGGACGTTACATGGTGACCGGATCTTATTTTGAAGTTTTGTCGCAGATTCTGTGACGTAAATTCAGAAACCGTCGCAGAAAATAGAGGAGGGGTTGAAAAATCGGACCCAAACAGAATATAARGATATCTACGCAGCAGTTGGAGRAACTAAATTCAACTTTTCTGCCTCCTAGAGACTCCAAGTACACAACAAAATGTATTTAACATAAAGTAAATTTTACGTATGTATCCTTTAATGAGGATTAAATTCTGAACSRATGAAACTTAGTTTGGCTCCGCGGYGGTGACATTTTCACCTAAAGATTGTAAAAAATATCACTGACTTCTGTGTGTTCCTTTCAATTTTCACCTATTTACTAAAATGGCTTAAAGCTGATGGTGTTCAGTTATGTGAGGAATTTTCTAATATAGTTAATCCCACTTGGCTCCTGGGCTTCCACAGACCACACAGGCCGACGTAGCTCCTTTTATTTGTGTCTCTAAAGGCTTCTCCACCACTCAGACCAACGTGACTCTCCTGTAAGTTTCAGTTTTTACATTAATAACTGCAGTCCCAGCTGGATTTTTAGCAAATTAAGACAAAAATAGTCAAACTGTTGCCTGTTCATCTTCATTTCAGGTWTGTTTGAGCTGGAAAAGAAAGTTTTGCTTCATTTCTGCTTTTAGGTTTAAAGTTTTTGTACTGTAAACTCCATTTTTTTTACTTTTATTTTACTTTTTAAAGGTGTTATATTTGTCCACTCCGGTAATCTGTTTCGCTAGACGCTGCAATTTTTGGCATTTAAACTCGGCGTTATTGCAAAAATATATCACGAGTGACATTTTCCTCCAATATCATACAGTTGCTTGACCTTCAGGTTGTTTTTATTTCTGTTTTATATAYATGACAGAAACTAAAACCCACTGTACAGTACAATGAGCTGCACAACAACATGATAAGATCTCCTCCTGAGAGTAAAACTGCAGGTATGAGGCTTAAAAAGCGCTGCTGGATTTTCTTTTTTTTTGACTTAATGCCTGCGTTGAACTAAAACCAGATGTGCACCACGCACCAAATCCCACTCGTTTCTGTTTCTAATTGCAAAGTTTGAAAACGACGGAGATCCTGATGTCGCCGAGACGAACGGCTCAAAGTTCACAAGTTTAGGAGCCATCCGAACGGGGAGATTTGTGGGAGCTGAAACCCAGCAGGGAGGATCCGCGCTTCACGGGGCCTCAAAGGCTGAGCAGAAAACTTGGAGCTAAGGGTTTGTACGAGCACGACGACCAACACAAGACATCTCCTGCCTGTTTGAGTTTACATGGAGAAACATTTCAACATCAACTAGTTAAACTTTACATCGWAAAGAAATGTATTTTTGATGCTTGAAATCCTTCATTAAACAGTTCAGTTCTAACAAACGAATAAACAGGGTTCATACACTTTTCCCACTGTAAAATTCAAGCACTTTTCAAGGATTTTCAAGGTACAGTGGATTTAAAAAGGCTACAGACCCCTGTTAAATTCCAGGTTTATGTGATGTTAAAAAACAAGACCAAGATAAATTATTTCAAAACTTTTTCCACCTTTAAGTGAGCTATAATCTGTACAACTCAATAAAAAACAATTCTTTTTTGGGGAGGAGTCTACCAGGATGGCACATCTGGATTTGGTTATTTTTACCCATCCTTCTTTGCGAAATGTGAGGGTCTTTCTCGTGCACAGCCCTCCTCAGATCAACCTACAGATTTTCTGTAAGATTCAGATCCAAAACTTTAATCTTCTATTAAAGACATCCTTTTGTTGATTTGGATGCTTCGGGTCGTTCTGAAAGACTGAAGGCTGTGTCTCGATTCATGGGTTGCAGCCGACGTAGACCGCGGTCGACGTTTGCGTCTAAGTGGGCCGTAGGCCGCTCGTGTTGGCTGCATGAACGGTTGTGAAATGAGACGGTCTAGACCAGTGGTTCCCAAACTGTTTGTCTTCTGACCCACAAAATATCCATGGCAAAATCTTGTGACCCCAAATATTACTGGTCTGAGTACACAAACTTCCTTAATAACCCTAAAAACACAGGCTTTTTGACTATCTAAACAGC